ACAATAGATTAGATACGAGCATTAAAAAACATAAATAACTTTGATAACTTGGTAACTTTCATTACAAATGAATAAAAAAGTATGGTTCCGTTTTTCACGTCACTGAGGTGTAGAGTTCATGAAATCCCATATATATTATTAACAAGTTTCAAAAAGAAAAATGTTTAGAAAAGTGGACTTACACTAGTACTTATAATAGTAGGGCACCGGTAAAATTAAACACCATTATCTAATAGAAAGTGAGTCCCGCAATATGAGATCTACAAGTGAGATTCACTTTCTATTAGATGGCGGTGCTCTTAAGCTTTTTTTTTTACAACACATCAATGTCTATTGAGAGGACTTAATCCCGCCTAGTATTTCATGATGAAAATACATTTGGATAAGATAAAGACCAATTTTTTTTATCTAAAAAATACTATATTTTGTTTGATCATCACTAATTTCCCCACGAATAATATTTGTTAGAAAAATAACTTTTATACAATTTCGTCGGTATACCTCACGTGGGAAAAAGAAAAAAAAATAAGTACAAAAAAAATAAGTATCTTCACTATGAAGAAAAACGTTAAACATCTTGAATCGGGTGAGTCAAGATGACCTTTATTATGTATTGCTCTAAGAAAAAAAGGCTCGCACGGTGTTCCTCATCATCCATCCCTTGTCATCATGTATGATTCTTAAGCTTTGTTTTTTATTATTATTTTTTATTTTTACGGGGATTCTTGCTTTTTATAGTTTCTTTTTCTTGTGATGGAAAAGGTGGGAATTTGGCGTACCTAGCTATAAATTCGTGGCAGATAATTAATTAATAATTTAAGCACATATCTATAAGTACTTCTGATTGAGAAGATATCATGTCCGATATATATATATATATATATATATTATATGTAGCCTCTCAACCTATATTAACCTTCCCAAAAAAAAAAAAAAAGAATGAAAAGAAAATTGCAAGTCGTTGAGAGTACTCCTTTCCTTTGTTTTGGGAACCCATAGACAAATGTTTCGAGACACCACCACCGGTACTTAACACTACTATTAATAAAAAGTAAGTTTCAACTGTAAGTCTTATATTACAGTACTCACTTTATACTAAAAAAATGCTCATATTTATTCTGATAAAATTAATATTTCGCTACTCACATAAAATTGATCTCATTAAATGAATAGATGAAACTAACTTAATGAGACTCACCATTTTATAAATACGAGGTTTTATCCCCGTCAAAATAAATAACATTCTGCTAAATATCATCGGGACCATATAGAATTGTTCCAACCTCATAATGGAGGAACACATATTAGAGAAATTTCTTGTTGGAGGGGCATATACATAAATAGGTACCCCCACGTCCTGCTGTCGTTTTTGTCCTTTCTAGTGGAACTCCTGCAAATTTCACCTGCTCATTGCTTCTTTCCCACGTCTTTGCAGAACAAGGGAAGATTGATGGGTGTGATGGATTCTGAATTAATATCAATCAATTTGCCTTAACAAGAAGGAAAAAGAAAAAAACAAAACAAAACAAAAAAGCAAAATTTTTTTTTTTAATTTTCAGAAAAGTTATACTTATTCACTGGCCTACATCTGAGAACCCCCTCAACCCCCCACCTCTGAACCAAACAGTACATGTACATGCATGATATCTCAGTTCCGATAGATTATACACAAAAAGTCCACATTCTAATTATTAAAGAGAAGTAGACATATACACACATATATATAATTTTATATATACATGTGTGGGATCTGGTGGTGGGGATATGATGAGATAAGAGGGAAATTGGATATGGTTCGCCAAAATTTCCAAGAAATAATTTAGAAAAATAAAAAAGAAGAAATAAAAAGGGAAAAGGCTTTTGGCGATCTCGAGGATCTAAGTTTGGGCTGACAAAAATACAGAGAGGGAGATCATCAAAGAGAGAGAGAGAGAGAGAGACGATGAATTCGATGACAGGAGACGTGACCCTCAAATGGTGCCACTGCTGTCTGCTAGGCTGCAGAGAGACTCAGATCCAGATACGATTCAGTTTCAGCCTCTCTGCGCGTGTGTGTGCGCGTTAGTACTGCTACTTACTATACTACTACTAAGAGTGAGTTATTAGTAAAATGTGCGTGTGCGTGTGCGTGTGTGTGTGACAGTGTGAGAGAGAGAAAGTTAGAGAGAGAAAGAAAGAGATAGAGAGAGAGAGGACAGGTTAACTTTTTCTTGATTTTTATGTGTAACAGTGACATTTGTAGCTATGTTTCTGTCTCTATGTCGGGTGTGGGTGTGTAGAGAGAGACAGAGAGAGAGAGCGAGGGAGAGAGAGAGAGAGAAACAAAAGTGGTGATGATCAAGATCAACATCTTTTGCTCTGCTTTGCTTGCTTCCCTTCCCCTCACATTAAAGAAATAAAGATGATCAAAACCACATGAATGCATGACAGAGAGAGAGTACTGGAAGGAAAATAAACACATATACGTACAGTAAACATGCACAGTGGAAAGAATACATGAAAATATTTGGAAGACGTCATCTCTCTCTCTCTCTCTCTTCTCTCTCTCTCTTTCAGCCTAATCATGTGATTTCTCTTTAACACTTCAAATTTTAACGGTAACATATAATATGACGGCTTACTTGGGGGAAGAAAGTGAGAGAATATGCTGCTTCTGACTTTGAAACACTTTTTGGTTAGGGTGTTATGAAACCCTAAACCTAATTTTTCTGGTATTTTTTTTCATACATATGTATATATAGTATATTTAGTCTTTTTACTTCGTTTTCTCTTTATGGATTCCGTTTCGTGATGATGTATATAATTATCATGAGAGAACATTTTCATACGAAACTAGACTCTTTTTTCTTTTATTGGAGCTTTACATATATTATATAAGTATAAACTTATGACGTTTAGTTGATGAATTTAAAATCATGATTTAAAATTATTTTTAATTTATGTGTATTTTTTATGAAAAAAATATTATAACGAACCACAAATCATAATTCAAATCATGACACAAATCTATTAATTAAACGCACACTTAGTGCATGCACGCAAGAAACATACGAGGGAAAGAAGACATAATTCAAATAGTATATAAGGTAAAGCATAAATACACAATAATATGAGAGAGAGAGAGAGAGAGAGAGAGAGAGAGAGAGAGAGAGAGGGGGGAGGGCCGGGGGTGTTACTGTGAAGAGACTTTTGGCTAAGGTTTCACTGTTTTGTCTCTGGCGAGTGTCTAGTGGGATCATGAAATAAAAAGGGTGGGTTTTGGGGAAAGAAAAGCTGATGATCAAGACACTTAACATGGGAGAAAAACTTCTATACACTTTTGTTGGTGATTAAAAAACTTTAGCGGACACAATTATAAGAGAAAGGGACTGTTATTGGATACTGTTTCGGATATGTAAGTCTAGAAATGAGAGGTGGAGTGGTGTTCCACATAAAGTAGATAGTTCTCTATACAATAATAATATATAATTAGGGATTTTTTTCGGTATGCCTCTCCGTGAATAATATTAGTTTTTAACGGTTAAATTTAATTAAAATCACCTTAAATAAAAAAAAGTATACATAATAAATAGTTTTTGATACAAAATTAAAAGTTGAAAAGTAATAAACTGATAACTCATCTTTTCTGTCCGACTAGTGAAACTCTCTAAAACAATAGGTGGCATTCACGACTACTCTATGATATAGGATACAGGATAGAAGTCATGATTCGAACAAAGTTATAGCTAGAGTACTACTACTACTACTACTTGAAGCGGAAAAAAAGTTGAATGAGACAGTTAAACAAAGTTGGGAAATTTTATATTTATGGTATAAGGGCAAAACATAATGAATGTTTCTAAATGGATCGATATGTATTCAAAAGATGTACAAATACATAATCTATGGCTGGCTATATATGTGTGATTATAAATCTGTTTGAATCATTTACAGTTTATTAGGAGAATATTATAAAATCCTAAACCCTTTTCTAATTAAAAAAATTACGGAAAAAAAATCCTTAAACCTAAATACAAAAAATTTATTTTTTTTAAAAAATAAATAAATGAAGAGAGAAGGTAACTAACTTGAGAGAAACTTAGCACATGAAAATTAGGTTACTTAGTATTCACTGGTATGAGAGAAACCTAGATACAAAATATTTGTAAATTTAGAGCCAAGAACAATTTAGAAAAACTAAACAAAAAAAAATATATATATATATATATATATTCTGCAAAAAAAGAAAAAGAAAAAGAAAACTGTAAGAAGTTGTAACAGTATCAATAGTACCAATAGGCTATGTATGTTTCCTGCCACACAAAATTTCTTTCCATTCGTGATCTTGTCATCGTGTACAATATTCACACGAAGGAAACATGGTAATAGCATATTGACATGAAAATTATAAACTTTGGCTCAGATAATATACTCATCAGGCGAGAAATTAACTTGTCAAAATTAAAAAGCAACAAAAACCCATATATATTTAATTGCTGTTGTGCATTGAAATATTTCTCGCCACCATGACTTTCCAATTCATAGAAAAAAGAATGAATAATAAATAAATATAAACTAATAAAAAAGCAAGGCGTCGCATATGGATCTTTATTAAACCAAAGGCAAAGGCTGTGAAATCAGCTAAACGAATTAAATCATGATCAAATCCAAGAAAAATCAAAAGAGTGGTCCTTAAGAACAAAGAGGAAATTAGCAAAAGCGAGCATATATATAGGTTTAAAAGAGAACTAAGCCCTAGAGTTAGGCTCAAGAATCTTCTTTATTAACAAGGAAGCATTTTTATTCATTCATTTATTCTTTATAAGCATAAACAAATGTGGACAGAATGTCAACTCCGCATGCGAATGCTTTGAGAGTTGCACTTAAAATATCACAATAAGCTGAGAGAGAGAGAGAGAGATCCCAAGTAGCTTAGCTATATAGATACATAACATACACAACATATATATATATATATATATATATATACATATATGTAAATGTACTCTATACAGCCTTATTTTAGGTCCCTATAATCCCAACTAATTAATAAATAATTAACACAATTCTAGACTCCTTATTCATATTGTCCTTGGTTTTAGCATATAAATAATAATATATATAACTAATACCCACCAAAACAAAAGTACCTGAAAAATCAACATAAATAGAAATTAACAACGACTCAACTTCAAGTAGTGATCTGAAAATGTTCCAGAGTAGTACTGATATATATTCTCCTCCACGTGATGCTCAGGCCACAGAAAACCCTCTTCACCAAACTTAACCAAACAAATAACACCAACATTATTCCAATATAGAGAAACCCTAGATGGGATTTAATTGATAATAATTAATTAATTACCTTTTTGTATGATCATCATATGTGTCCTCCTCCTCCTTCATTAGCATTTTCAGAAGAAGGATTGTTATTCTGATCATTCCATGGGAGAGAATAAGCCGGAAGCTGATGAGAGAAGGATTGCGGATAAAACCCTCCTCCGGATTGGCGGATATTCATCGGTGTCAGCGGCGGAGGAGGCGGAGGCAGGTGGTTGTGGTGGTGGTCGGGGGGGAGATCGTTGCAGGCGAAGCGGATGAGATCGGCGTTGGCGGCGTCGAGCTCCTTCTGGAGCCGCTGGACCTGGCGCTGGAGGAAGGAGATGGCGCCGACGCAGCCGTAGACGGGGTCCCTGACCCGCGCCTCGGCCTCATAGGCGAGGGAGTTGACGGCGTCCTCCCGCTGGTGTTGGGGGAGCTCGTTGAGAAGCTTTGTGACGTTGCTGGCGCCGAAGATCTTGTGGACGTTCGAGAACTTCTGCGGCTCCTCCGGAGGAAAATACGGCGCGAAGATGCACCCCGGCATGCACTTCCTCCTCAGGAACTTGCAGGCTGCGCAGGGGGAGTTGTAGGAGCTTGATGATGCCATTTTATATATTGTCTCTCTTCACCACTACGACTACTACTACTACAAGTCCCACCTGCAAAAACGTACGAATAATAAAAATTATTATTATTGCTAGCTAATTATTACACAAATTAAGGGGTAGTTAATTAATTAGATGATAAAAGAAGATTTGTTGAGAACATTAACAGATTAAGTTTACAAAAGAGAGATTTTATTTGCTAATTAATTATTAGTTTGTTTTAATTTTTCTCCTTACTTTCTTCTTTTCTCCTTCCTTTGATCTGTGTACTAGCTAGCTAGGGTTAGCCAAGAAACACCCATGGAAGTCAGATTTGTTTGATCTCTTTAAGGTCCATATTTTAACTTTTTTTTTTCAAGAGTTTGTTCAATTGATAAAAAGAAAAAAGTATAACCAAAAAAAAAAAACAAACAAACAAACCAACAAAGAAAAGACTCATATCCCTAACTACCCCAACCACCATGTGCTTCTCTCTGTCTTTCCTGATCTGCGTATCATCATCTCTATCTCTTTTAACACTTGATTCAGATTAAAGAACAATATACTAGGGATCCTAAATTTGTCACTTTTTCCATCCTTTTTTTCCTCTCTTCTTAATTGTTTGATTATTATTATTATTTTTTTCCATTTGCTAGTTCTCAAGCACACTTTCTACACATCATCACAACCTCCAAGGCCCTTCTTCAATCAGCTGCATGCTTCCTTAATCTTCGTTTCCGAATTTTCTCTCTTCTTTTACTCTCTATAGTCTTAATTCCCTTCATAAAGAGTTAGTCCTTTCCAAGAGAAATATTTGTGTAAATTAGATATATAGGCATGACAAAGAAACATATTAGTCTCAAATTAGTGGAACATGCTGAGATCTGATATGTAAGTGCAACCAATCACAAATATAAAGCTTTGTCACATATACACACATATATATATATATGTATGCGTATATATATATATGTGTGTGTGTGTGTATGTATAGTTCAAATTAGAACTTTACCCCTGATCAAGGGATCTGTACTGACTCTTTAAACCTTTCAGTAGCTCTTACCCAAAAAGAAACAAAACCAGAGAGAATGTAACTAGTAACATATAGCTAGAGAGGGACAAAACCACACACACACACACATATATTATATATATGAGTCATGTTTACCTGTTTATGATCTAGGTTTCTTTGATCAAATGGATAAAATAAGGTACTTCCCTTGTGAGCTCTTAAATTCAAGAGCTAGCTAGCTCCTAAATTTGTTCCTTCTAATTATAATAATATCATAAACCAACCTTGGCACAATTATGAAATGACTGATCAGCATAACAGATTTGTACAGAAGGGAGATCCTCAAAAGAGGGGAAAAAACCCTAATTGAGAGAGAGAGAGAGAGAGAGAGAGAGAGAGAGAGAGGAGAGAGAGAGAGAGAGAGAGAGAGAGAGAGAGAGAGAGGATGAGAGCTGCAAAGTTCAGTGACAAAAAGGTAATGAGAGCAAGGAGGAACACAGGAGCATTTAGTGGATGGAGAAGGAATAGAGGCCAAAAGACAAAGGTAATAAATGGGAGGCACACTATAAAAGAATGACTATGACACTGCATCTAATAATAATATTAGGGTAATGTCTCCCATTCCACTCTACTTTTTTTTTCCCTCTCAAACATTAAGATAAATAAAGCATATTTTTCAATGAAAAGAAAAAAAAAATTAACCCTTCGAAGTGGAACAACATATTGAAGTATCATAATTTTGAACTAATTACTAATTAAAGGAATAGAAAAGGATAGAGAAAAGTTGTAGATCCATATATGGGGAGCAAATGATCAACTTAATTTATCATAAGCAAGATGTACTTAATTTGTATAATTGATACGAAATTGAATTTTCTTTGTCTCTTTTTCTGCGTCTCCCATTTATGGTAAATTACGTGTGGTGTACATGTAATGATCTGATGTAACACCTTATCCAGTTCCATGTTGAATTTCAGAAACCCCAAAGAATTGAAAAGAGAATCGAAGTATACATGTAAAATGAAGTACCATATATATATATATATACACACACACACACACAGGTGTCAGTTAATAGTAGTACTTCACGTTCTTGATGAGGTTTAAAATTAATTACTCTTCTAGAGGAAATTATTGATGAGTACACGTACTGTATTTATAAAGAAATACAAATTTGGGCGGCTGGGCAATTTGAACATTCTAGCATAATCAATACATATCATTATCTCTATCTCTCTCCACGCACATCTGCAAAACATACAAATATGTGTGTGTGCGCGTATATATATATATATATATGTATACATATATATATATATATATATAACCCCATTCGATAATTTATTTTTATTGGACGAGTTGTTTAGAAGGTACGAATTTAGTTTAGAATATTGTGGTAAGTTTTTCTGACGTTATATACTTGTACACATAAGGCTCTCTTCTTATTTCAATTTTGATTCCTTTATTAATATTAATCCTCTAACTAAGATGCATATACATATAAGGACTAGAAGAAGGTGCATCTTTTTCCCCCTTTAACATACTACGCACTTGTTAGGAACAATAGAATTAACAGAGAATGTGAAGGAATTGGTGCAAAACAGGGAAATATTGAAGTTATAGTATATATAGAGAGATCTTATATATATATATATATATATACGAGCAAATTGAAGACCTGTGGAGAAATTAAAGTATATAGGGTTGTATAGATCTACTAGGATAAATTTGTTTGAAAGTAAATGGTTCTAGCTTTTCGTAAATGGTTCTAGCTTTTCGGACGACATATATTCCCAACCATGGGAAAAGAAACGTCATCACCAAAGTACTCATGTGTGTTGTGTACATATATTCACAGCTAGGCTTTTTCTTTTTTCCTTTTTGACTAAATCTACCAATGACTTGACCACTGTACAAAGTATTATATACCAAATTAAGCTCCTAAATGTCCTTATCCACACATATCAATTTCAATAGCCCTTAAAAGTAACCAACCATATTTAACTGCCAAAGATCCTAGTTGCAATACTAATATGCTTAACATTAAATAGATGTAAATGACATATTACTTACATTGACCGTTTGCCCTAGAATAAAAAAACAATTAGAAGAAGAAGAAGAAAATTATGCTAGAGCTTGGTATGTAGGTATATATGTGTGTGTCAAAAGCTGAGACCTTTTTAATGAGACGTATTTGGAGTTGCTAGCATGATAGGAGTTCTGGCTTTTATCTTTGTTTTAATGCCTACATGCATTAATTCTCCTTCATTTATCTCTTCGCGCTTGCGTGCGTCTTGTTTTGTGTCTTTTTTCTTTCGAATTCTTTGTTATTTTTTATTATTTATTTTAATAATATGTACGGGTAGGTGCTAGTAAAAGATGGTTTTCGAAGGGAGTGCCAACTTAGTAAAATTGATGTCCTTAGTAAAATTGATGCTAGCTATTCTACTCTTACAGTTTATTTAAAAAAATAATTAAAAAAAAAAAGCTTAGACCTACAAATCATAGAATGTTTAAGCCCGCCATAATAATAACACTAATAATAATAATAATAATAAAAGGTTTCCTCAATAATAACATAAAATTCTTTCTTTCACTTCCGATAGACTTTTTAACCTCTTAAATCATTCCAAACTGCATCTGTTGAACCGATGGATATTGATGGAATATTACAATGAAATATATATATACAGCAAGTAGTATACTGAAATTCCATGTTGTTATTAATTACCTTGATTTACAGCTCTAGGTAAAATAATAGCTGGCACCTTGCTAGGTTAATTTTCAGGATTCCTTTTCACGGAGCCACCCAGATTTGTGACAATGAAAACGACGACATGATTGTGACGTGTGTAAGAGGCAATGGAATTTTGTAAAAAATCATGTAGTAAGATTCTCTTTATGTTGTGTAGCTTTACCGCTCTCTGTCACCAGGTTTATATAGCTCATATATATAGGTCAAGAATGTTCAATCCCAGTGATGATTATTTGGTTAAAATTTCATATCAAAGCTTTGATAAAGATGACACATGATATATTACATGTTATGTATGTGTGCCTATCCAAATCATGATTAATATTAAATATAATATTGCCTTAGCACCTAGTAGTTACTTATCCACCTTACTTTTAATTTTTAATTTTAGGGGTTTTGTCACTTTCTTTTATTTTCCATAAACAAAAAATAACTACTTTGGTCAAAGATTTCTGTGTTTATATTTCAAAAATTTAAACCAAACGTTGTGTTATAAAGATCATATGTATAAGCTAATTATAACAAGTCAACAGTTTTGTTCAAAAGTTTATAAATTAGCTTTCAAGAAGTGGGGTAATATTAGATTTTAATTTCTAATATGCCAATTGTGTATTTTTATGATAATGGCAATGCATGATCAGGTCACTAACACTATTGCTTTACTAACTCTTTTTTTTTTTTTTTTCCTACTCAGCAAAAGAAAGAGAAGAAAAAGATTCTATGAAACTTTAATGTATTCCAACAAAATTTGTACCCACTACAACTCGGAATCCACCAATCTCACTGTTTTTTTTTTTTTTTGAAGTTGGTCTCACTCTATTATTAATTAAAGAACAAAATTAAAAAACTAAAAAAAGAATGATCAACTTGTCTTGAGGACAACATAAAATAAACAAGTTAATTTCTTTTTTTTAAAAAGAAAATATTTGAATTTTACAAGGCATAAAATCTACTCATCCACTCAAAATAAACCGAAGATGACTCTCGAATCACAAAACTCGCTCAATAAAAAAAACAAAAATCGTTCGAAGGGAAAAGAATGCGTGTTATTCACTAATTCTTATAAAATTTAAGGTGGTGATAAGAGATAGAAAAACTAACATGATTTTTGTTTTCTAACATCCCCAAAATGAAGAATGTAGCTCGATTCATGTAGCATTCATCAACTAAGCATAAACATGACAGTTGCCAAAATAAAGGAGTTTTTTTTTTTTTTTTTTGGTTTGGAGATTTATATTGTAGTTGAAAAAATGAGTTAAATATGTAGGTATGTTTTCCAGTCGTTAGGTCTATATAAAAAAGATCTGTTCTACATGCTTTTTAGTTTTGATATAATTTTTGTTGAAAAAACAACATCGAGTGTGTATGGGAATTTTAAAAAAAATTTAATCAGTGTCAAAGCCAACCAAGAACATGTTCATGATGCTATATAACATAAATACCAAAGATTTAAATTATACCTTCAAAGATTATGGAAACAACACGTCTGACACATCAAAGCGTTCCAAACAGCAGCTGGAAGAGCCTCAACCAACTGGTCCTCTTTATTATTCTCGTTTCCACGATCAGAGTGCGAGTGGGCACACGTCGTTCAATCTCCCCTTGGTATTCTTAAACTCCTTCCAACCACAAGAGAGCCAAAGGAAAAAGTGTTCTTAAGATTTAAACAATTTTTCCTTTGAGGAATCCTTACCATGCAATAGCCCCCAAAAAGTTTCTCAAGTGATTTAATGAATAATGGAACTTACCATGCTATTTATAGAGTTTAGAAAGTCATATTATCGCAACAATTAGGTTTCTAAAAGTCTATCTTGTGTCAAAAATAGCTCAAAGTCAGTTTTTGACACGTCAGCAGTTGTAACCGATTGACTGGTCCCAATAGTTATAAAAACCACCAGTCGACCGGTCCTTATACAGAACAACCCAAAAAGTTACATACTGGTCAAACACCTCCATCAACTGGTCGACTGGTTCTTGTTCCAAGAAACTTGTTTCTCAAGTTATTTAATACGGGAAACTTCCATAGAGCCTCAGTTTTGATTTAAATAACATAATATAGAAGTTACATGATCAAAACAGTCATATATTAGCTTTCACATATTAAATAAAATTCAAACAATAATTCAACCAATTTATTTAGAATTAATTTAATAATTAATTCACCCAATAAATTACTCTTGAATTAATTAGCAATCTCACACTTGACTTTGAACTTTTAACGGAAATAACATAAGTTACCAATATGTAAAAAATACGTCGTATCGTATTAGGAATATATGAGCTAGCAAAGGGACGCGATGGACATAAATAGATCAAGCTTCTATAATCACGAAAGTTTATCATATGATTATAAACTCCTACTCCACTAAAAGCTTAGAGCTGAAGTCTCGATCTATATAGTATATTTACAAAGCTCTGTATAGCTCTCGTCCACGACTTATTGTATTAGGGTGTCATCCCCATAAGATATCTATAATCGACTTGAGGCTAAGTTTTGTTTTATCTTCTCGATTATTTATCTGATGTTCTATTATCACTCCATCGAAAAAATTACTATTTGTACCAATTCAAATAGTAAACCAT